TTTATTTTATAGGAATTTATATTAATAATGTCATATTAATAATTCATCAAATATAGATCTTTACAAAATACACAATATAAGTCAAAGATAATCAAGTTAAGGCACACAAATTAAGGCATAATTAAAGCACTCTTCAGACCTTATAAATTGCGTCATCAAAATTTCACTAAATTTCTGTCAATTTTAGTCAATAATCTAAAAATCAGTGAAAGCCATTTTTGAATTGCCAGAATATCAATGCATTTCAATTCTGTTATTGGTCAATTTTAATAGCTTTAGCTTTTCAGCACTCGGTTCATTCATTGAGTTTATAACACATTTTGTTTTGTCTTTCTGCGATAAATTTCACCATAAACGTGGCTCATTTAGCGTCGTTCGATTTGCATTTGAATTGGAGTCAAGGTTGGCTTGCTTTGAGTATATCGAGCCCATTTTTCTCATCGAGATGACGCACAAAAAGTTTCCAAAAAGATTTGTAACTGATTTTAAAGCGTTTGTGGTGGAACAAACAGATGAAACAGCTGGCAAACCGAAAAAACTACATTTATTATTTACGCTAGTCGTAATATAATAAAAACGACTATGCCAAAATGTGTTGCTCGCACATAAAATTTAAATTTCATGCAATTACACACACACATGCACAGTCACTGACTGCCTGACTGACAGTCTGAGTCAGTTGAAACATCAGCTTGCTGCTGCTGCAGCTGTAACTGTAATTGCCCAAAATTTTATGGTCCAAGCAACGGCGGAGACGCCGCAACGAGCAAGTACTAGAAAATTGCATTTGCTGCCAACAGGCAACAGAGGGCGCTGCACTAAAACGAAGACGAGCTGCTGCAGCAGCAGTAGCAGGAGCAGCAGGAGTAGCAGGAGCAGCAGCAAAACAGACTGCACTGGCATTTACAACAAGAAATGTCAGCTAATTTCATATGGAACGGGCGTAGAGCAGCAGCTGCACCAGGTGCTAGGATCACAAAATGCTTTGAGCACAAAATGCTTCGATTGTGCATGTGTGTGTGTGTGTGTGAGTGTTGAGGCACGCACATGCTAGGGTTGTCACCTAACACGAAAGGACACTTTACGCTCGAGATGAGCTTGGAATTTTGGACCAAAGCCGAACACGGATATGGACACGGAAACCAAAAAGCAGCGTACGTGTTGTGCATGCCACAGAGCCTGTGTGGCCGGTGTGTGGGCGTGGCCTGTTCAATTTACTAGTGCAACAAACGCACCGTTATCTTTTATGCTCGACGCGTGCTGAGGTTCGATTTCGGTTGAGGTTCACCTAGAGGAGCGTGACTCACTTATTTGTTTACGTTTATTTTTGTTGTTGTTGTTGCTACTGTTGTGTTTTGGCTCTTCACTAATTTTTACGCAATATTTAATGTTTCATTCACTTGCACAACTCAACGACCCAGACAACTTTCTTTTCTTGGCTGGTTGAACTTAAAAATAGTCGAAGAGGCAGCTGTTGTCACAATCGCTACGCTTTGTTTAACTCGCCATTGCGGCACAAACACAAACACAATCACACACAATCATATATACATATATAGAGACAATTGCTTAGCCGGCTTCGATTTTGCACACTTTCGGCTTTTGATTCCACTTACTTCACATCAAATAGAAACTACAAGCAACTACGATAACAAATTCGAAACGAAACGAAATGTTGCTTTGTTTTTCAACTGCCTCTTGGTAAGAAGACAGCGCCAGCGACGTCTTTCCGGCTTTGAGTTTGGCGTTCGTTTGACACGCGACGCCGGCGCTGAGCATGCGCCAAGCCCCAAGTGCCAAGCTCCAAGCAGCGACCAGCCAATTCGAGTTCAGTCTCGACTCGCTGCAGAGGAGCGCAAGAGCAGGAGAGAGTTTCGCCAGCTCGCCAAAGATGCTCGGGCGAAGAGTGAAAACGTTGCCGAAATTATGTTTAACCAGCTGCTAGTTAGAGAGCGGATCATCAGAGAGCAACTGAATGGGAGTGAGAGAGAGGGCTTGCGAGAGATTGCAGCAATTGGGTAATAATAAAATTGGACAGATGTGCGAAAGTTAAGATGAGCGCAGAGATCAACTAGAAAGACAGCCGGAGTAAAATTGAAGTTAACTTTGTTTTTATTATGCATAATTTATATTTAAGTGAGTCAAATACCAACAACTTAAGGTTAACTAGTTGAAGAAATATCACAAGGCCTTAGTAGAGTCTAATGAAGAATTAGAAAATAATTTGATTAAGCATAAATTATTTATACGCAGAGAAGTAAGAGTATCAGTCAGTCAATTCTAAAAATGAATATTAAGGATGCTCTATACATTAAAAAGAAATTTATTTTAAGATGTTAGCAATTAAATATAAATTATTGATTGCTGCTTGTTATATTTCATAAATTTTATTATGAGTAAAGCAAAATATATTTGTAAAGCAACTAAAATTTGAGTCAAATGATAGCTTTCTTTCAGCTCTTATACTCTGTGATTAAATAGAGCATATGGATACTTGGGTCTATATATCGTTTGCTTAATGTTAATCATATTAAATAAAGCATATGAATTAAAAAAATAAAATCAAAGGCAAATCAACTCATATAAATATTTCCTTGAACACTTATACTCTGAGAGAGAACAAAATAATAGTACGAAAGTAGATCGAAAATAGAATATAGAGAAAAACAATTAGTAGGGAATGTAGTAATATCATATAATTGTAAAAAAAAAATTTTTTTTTTTTAACTTCGTAGGAAATGTAATAATATCGTATATTAATATAAAATATATTTTATATTTAATTCAAATATTACTAAAATGAAAAATTATTAAAGATCTTGCACTCTGTGCAAGCAGAAATCAATATTTTAACAGAATACCCTGACTTGGTATATCCATATTTTGGGCCATTAGTCATCCCTGATGAAAGTTCAAAGTACAAACAATGCTTATCAAATGATTTGTGCAACAATTGAACATGTTTTCTAAAGGTGATCGAATCGGTAAACTTGTTTGCCATGAAGACATTCGTTGGGTAATCTGACAGTTGAGAGTTCGTTGAACTCGCTCTGGCTGTATAACGGCGCTAATTAAATCAGATAGTTGCATTACATTTGTAACACTCTTCTATAAAGCTACATAAATAGCCAAGCGAATTATTGTACAATGGTCGCAGCAAATCTGGGTGCCACCGCCTCAGATGGCTAATTATAATGAGCCGAGAGCTCGCGGTGGCAACCAGCTAAGCAAATTAGCTGTTCAGAGAGTGAAAGTTAAAACCGGGCGATGAAGCTGAAAAGAGTCAGCTGAGTCAAGCAGCACAACAGACAACAGACAACAACTACTACAACAACAACACAACAGAAGAAGACAACAAGAGGTTGGCATTCAGCTGCAGTCGGGTTAAGCGACATTGAGTAATTTTCTGGTCTAGTCAGAGACCTCAGCTGGAGCGGGAGCGGGAGCTACAGAGCGTGGGTAGCCCCCCACGCTGCTTTCTTTTGCCCCAGCGTAATAATAATTTACACGTCTCATCTATCGACTGGCGGCTGGGTGAGGTAACCAGCTCGTGGTACGTTTTTGACGGTCATACTGAAAGCGAAACCAAAATCTCCAGATTGTGGGCTGTGCCAGTAACGACTGTTATGAGCTAAACCGAACCGAACTGAGGTGTTGCCAATTTGAGATCTATGCCAATGGCTGGCATTCAACCTGACGTTGCTGCGAAATTTTGTTGTTTACCTTTCGCGCTTATTTTTCGCATTTATTTTCGTATTTGGGGAAATTACGCAAAGTCAAAGTCGTGGCTTTTGGGTTCATGTTGATCAATTATAGGCCATCCATAATGCATCCGCTTTGGACTAAGCTATCAGAAAAGGTCATCAGGTGGGCGAGGCTGTCAACTGAGATATTATGACATTGTTTATTTATTTGTGAATTAATAAGCATCTATATTTTATTTTATTTTATTTGCGCATTTTTATTTCCTTAGTTTTTTACGTGTTTATTTATTTATTCATTTACATTTTGTTATTGTCAATTTCTTTATTACAATTTATTACAAGTAAATTTATTTTATTTTAATTTATTTATACTTTAAATTATTTATTTTTGTGTATATGTTTAAATAAGTATTTAGTAACTTTATATCATTTTTTAAATTTATTTTTTAATTATTTGTTTATTGATTTCTGATTTGTTTATGTTTAAGAAAATACACATATTTGTGTTTTTTAATTTATTTGTGTTTCATTCATATTTTCAATTATTTATTTGGTTTATATGTTTAATTAATTATTTATTTATTTATTTTCAATTTCATTTAGTTATTTATTTGTTGACTGATTTATTTTAACAAAAAAATTTACATATATTTTTGCATTTATTTATTTATTTATGTTTTACTCATACTTTCATTTATTTATTGTTATATATTTTTTTTATTACTTACTAACTTTTTATTTGAATTTATTTATTTATTTATGTTTTTATATAAATTAATTAAATTTCTGATTATGCCATTTATTTACTACTTTATCCACCAGAGTACACTATATTGACTCTTCACTTTAATTCTTTTCTTTCAGTCAAAATGCGCTTCAAGGAGTATCCCGAAATAGTTGTGGATGTCATACCAAAGCTGTACGAGAGCCACATCAAGGTCTTCATCACGCATCTCTATGGCATGCAGGACAAGCTGGAGCGACTGCCCAAGCAGTTCTGCAAGATGTACACCACCCAGCCGCTGGCCAATCAGCTGCTCAGCTACCTGAGCAGTCGTGGTGCCAAGGTGTCCCAGCAGGACTTCCATATAGTCAAGGAGGCGCAGCCCTTGCAGCTGCGCCTCAGCGATGGCAAGCGACTGGAGCTGATGCTCTGTGCCGGCAATGAAATCGGCAACAGCCTAATGCTGCTCATCCGCAAGCCGCAAGGCGGCCGATTGCTCTTCTACTACTCAGCCGTGCAGCAGGATGATCTCTGTCGGCTGATGGGCAATGTGACCTATCAGGAGTGGATTGCCCAGGGTACCGATGAGCTCTATCTGAATCTGCAGGAAGCCGATCAGCCGTTCCAGCATGTGGACTTCGACGAGGTTGCCAGGAAGCTCGCCGAGCATGCGGCATCCGTGGGCGGGGCCTGTGTGCTCAGGCTGCCTCTGTTTGGCTATGAGTATCTGGTCACGCGTCTAGCTCAAACCACGACACTCTTCGGCCACATCAAACTGATGAACTGCTATTTGCATAGCTATAGCGGCTTGGGTACAGATCGCAGGCGCTTCGAGCAGCCCGGCTATGCAGTAACTGTGAAAATTGAGGCTGCCCATAGCTATGATTCGGAAACCCCATATCCACTGGAAGAGCTTCAGTGGTCTCCCAAACCGAATCGTATAAATCTCATACAGCTCTGCAGCTTGCTCCGTCCTGTTTATATCAATGGAATTGTGGACTTTCATACCACGGGAAATGTGCCGGCTGTGCCGCAGTACCTAAAGCGCTATCGCTTGAGATACTCGCCCAAGCCGAGAGCAGCGACAGCCGAAGACCACTCGAATGTGCCCGAGACCCAACTCATCCAATGGTCTAGCACAGAGAAAGTCTGTGAGACTCAGCAGACTCAGCACATCAATGCAACAACACGAAAGGACACTGGCCCAATCCTAAAGCAAAGAAAGTTGCAGTTTGTCGATTATGATGATGATGATTAGAATGGGAACTTGATTAACAGAAGAATAATTTTTGCAGGTGAGTAAAGTATTGATATAATATAAAGGAATATTTATAAACTATTATGATCATTATATCTCATCATACTAGGTTGAAGCAAATTAAATCTGAAATCTTTTCTCACATGGAAAGGATTTTGTCAAAGCTCTAACTTATTTATAAAATACATTACATTTACTATTTATATTTCCTTAATAATTTATTATTTAATTATTTATTTCATTAAAACTTATTATTATCTTACTCACCCTTGCACTATTCTATTTATTAACAATTGTCAAAAAGTAGTTTCTAAGTTTTATTTTTTTGGTATCAGCCCCAATAAAGATTTTTGTCATATTAAAAAAATAATACATTTTTAAATAATTTAAAGTTTATTAAACAAGGGTTATTTTATATAAATGATATTTTTCCAATTTTCATTTAAATGTTAATTGATCTGTCGAAATTTAGATTAATAATCGTATACAGATGAGCCGCCTCATTTTAATCGGAATAGAAACACTTTAATAACTAGTTTAAACTTATTATTAAAATTACAAAAACTCTTTAATTTAGTCTTACACTTTTATTTATTCATTTAAAATTTATTTATTCATCTTCTAAAACATATTTTATTATTTTATATATATGAAATAATCTAAAGTGAAAAAGCGAAAGGTGAAGCTCGTATGCTAAATCAAAGAAAATTAACTAATTATTGCTTGAAATATTCTCAATTGAAGAGGGAGAAGAACAAAGAATCATATGGCAAATCTCCGATCTATAACTTTTTGCAGTTAACTACATATTTAATTTCGGATTCAATGACGACGAGGCATTCATAAGAGACTCACAGAGTAAAAGCCTTCACATATGCCAACCTAACTCTCAATGTGAAATGCAAACTTATAATTTGCCCCGTCATGTCACAGAAATCGCCCAACTCATGTCGATAGCATCTGCATTTCATTTGAATGTGAATATGAATATGAATATGAATGCAAATATGAATATGAATACGAGTACGGAGCATAAACGAGTTAATGCTTTCGGTTCGACTAACGCATTTAATATGAATATCAAGTTCGGTCTGTGACCGTTTCATGTTTGCGTAAAAAAGGTTGTTAAAATTATTATGAAATGCCTGTTGGCATTTGTGCGATGGCAACCCCCGCTCGCCCACCCCAAGGAGTCGGGTGGACAAATGTCCACTTATCAACGTGTAATGAAATATGGCACATGTGCCATGGGCCCAGCTCTATGGATGGCATCCGCTTTAGACAGCAGTCACTGTAGTCGTTGGCGCCTTTGTCCGCTCTTATGGAAGTCTTTTGTCGTGCTCTGGCATGTTCTATGAATTATGTTGAGGACGATGATACAGGAGCCTCAACTATCCGAGTGTGTGTCCGTGTGTGTGTGTGTGTGTGTGTGTGTGTGTGTGTGTTCTCTGTCTCATTTATTACATTTTGGCTTTTTGACAGATTGCTAAGCGTAGTAACCGTTTCCGCACTAATTTCCGTGTCCTGCAACTATTCCGACATCGTTGTCGTTATCCCGTTGCCTTTGCCGTTATCCATGTCCTCTTCATGCTCATAGTCTGCTGCATTAAAAGCCAAAAGCAAATTACTCATCATATCAACGGTCAGTGGCGCTGCTTTTTATGTATGCCATGCACAGGGATTTTAATAAATCGTTTTGTCCGAGTCCTGCCGGTCTGTGATGTCAGTCCTGCAGGACTCTCCTCTATCCATCCCATTTTGCCATGTTTTTATTAGTTTGTCAATAAAGTGGCAAAGACGTTGATTATGATCGCTGCTTCCCTTAACCATTGGCCATGGCCTTATGAGTTTCGCTTATGACCTCCAGGCTGAGACCATTTTAGGCTTCAGCAGACATGCAAGAGATAATATATCCTTTTGCTGTCAAGCTTGGCAATCGTCTGCCTTCACAGAGACAAACTTCAGCTTCGCACTAGACTAAAGTCGGAATATCTTACACTCTTAAAGCAGCTCGAGCCACTTGTGGCATGAGTTGCACACAGAGACTAGACACGTTTCTTACATTTGCCAGCGAGAGGAAGGAACTTTGTGTGCACTTTGTAATGAATTTTTAATGCATTTTTGCTCCCGCTGCACTTTGGCTCGTCTTTGAGCGGCGTTTCGGGGGGTTTTATCCAGCGTGTAATGAAATTTATTTAGTTTTTCTTGCAACTTTTATGCTGAAAGGCAATTAGTTGGCATTACACTGTTACTCTCTTACAACCGAAACACATGCGACTATAATTATGCTTAAATTATAATTGAATTAAGTTTAAGTGGCTTTCAAGTTGCGCCAAGCCACTTTTAATTGAAACATAATTTTGATTATCTGAATCTGTATGAGAGAGAGAGAGAGAGAGAGAGAGAGAGAGAGAGAGAGAGAGAGAGAGAGATTAGAGCATATTAATAAATTCTTATCAAATATTTATACAAATATAATAGATTTGCTAAATGTGCGTCGCTTCGTGAAATACTATATGTTTCTCTATACAGTTTTTAAATAAAGGGAGTAATATTAATATTCGTTTTTTTTTTCTTTCAACTTCAAATTCAAACGCATATAAAACATATTAAGAATGTGTAAATGCTAAATTGTAGATTGAAAAATAACCTTTCCGAGGTATAGAAGGTAGAATTTTTTAAAATTATATTATAAATATTTTGAATACAATTATTCTACCGTAAATCCATTAAAAATAGGAAATCAGGGTCAGCGCATCGCTAACGTGTCAGACCCCATAAAGTATATATATTATTGATTAATCTTACAGCTTATTAACATAATTAAGTTATCTAACAGTGAGTTAACAGTGTACTCTTAATTAAAATGCTGTATTTTTCTACTTATTTCTATTCGCCTGGTACTTCTGCAATCAGAATATATAAAATTTATTCCCCAAGGGCCACATCAACAGCTTATAATAAAATCCCAGATATTAATAATTTTGGTAATGATCCCGAATAAAAAAAAGACTTCTATATAATTTATATATCTTGCATTTAATATATACATATATCCAAATAAAATGCCTTTCAATCAACGTTACCTTTTATTTAAATGCATCTAGTTTATGATCTTAAATTTAGCATTATTTTCTGGCTTCGCTAACCGCAGGCAGTTAATTAACTTTAATTTACGGAAATGGCTGCGCACAAATGTTGCCCGTTTCTATAATTTTAATAATTAGAATCGGGCGCGATGGGGGGCGGGCGCTGCCTTTGTGGTCGTGAGGCCGTGGTTTGGGCGAACAATAAAATTGCCAATGTATGACAGCGTCAGGCCCCCCACTCGAAGGACCCATATCTCGCCTGTTGCTGCTGGCAGGTGTTGGACCAAAAAGTAATTATCATAAACTAGACGCGGCGTGGCGGCATGGGGGCGCATCAGGGTGGGGGCAGCCCATTGATTAGTTTAGCTTAAAATTAAATTGAAAACTAGTGAGTATTCATCGAGGGCCATTTGACTGGCCATTGGACTGCGAGCGACACGCGCTGACGCTCAAATGTCAAATTAGGCCGGTTGCTGTGAGGGCGTGTGGCCAAATCTGTGATTTGTGTTCAAACGCAATTCAAATTAAATATGCCGGCTCGCTTTGATTGACAGCTGCTGGCACGACGGAAGCGGATATATATATTGGGCAGAAAATAATAGCCCAACTTAGGCCAGAGCTCGCGTCGTCAGTCATTATCATCGCCTGCTTAAGCCGTTAATAACATATCATATTTATGTGGCACGCTGTCGCGTATCCTGTTGCAGCGAGTCGCGTGCTGCACTGCCACAATTATGAGCATTTAATCCGCGACCACAAAAACTACAAATTGGCTTAGGCTGTGGCCCAGAGCGACGCTCAAGTGGGCAGCCAACCACCCGAAAATATGTATAAATGCGAGGGTTGAAATAATCAAAGAAAAACCCGAATTATGAATCAATTTCTGAGTTTGTGAGTTTCTCAAGTGTAGCTTGGCTAAAACTGAAACTCAAACTGCAAATGGAGTATACTTTGGGGCTTTATTGTACACCTAAACACGTAGATATATGCTCACTTTTAGCTGCTTAACTGAAATAATTTTATAAATTGACATGTAGATGGCGCCACTTGTCAGATTGAGGTTTCTTTCTCTCCTCTACTGGATGGTCTCCTCTTCTGGTGAATTTTCACAGTTTGATACTATAATTAGAGTTGGGGCCTGGAACTCAAAGCGTTGTATTTTATTCTCTGTATGATCTACCGATTGCTGCGCTTCTGAATCACTTATTTTCAGCTGTTCTAGTGGCGGTTTTTCAGTATCGAAAGTGTTCTTGTTTATTTCATTGAATGCCTCAACGAGCGGCATCACAGACGACCGACAGCAATTGCACACTACAGGCACAATGGCAGGCTTAAATTTCTTTTGATATTTCCCCTTCCTCTGTCGCTTGGGTTTGGCAGCAATCGGTTTTTTAGGTCTGTAGTAGGGCTTGCGGCCGCCCGAGTAGTAGTTTCGTCTCTGTGTTCAAAGTAGTACCGTATTTAGCAAATCAACATTGTCAACATTAATTACTGTCGTCTTACCTTAACCGAAGTTAGACATTCATAAGTGGTTAGGTCGGGGAATTTATAGAAATTGTAATTGGATTTAGGGTTACGGATCAATACGCCCAATTCAATCAAACTGTCCAGCGACTTCAGCACATAGTCCTTCACGGTATCAATGTCTCTTTTGCGACGCATCTGCTTGGCTACCATCCCAACGATCTCCTCGCTACATACGTAAGCAGATTGCCCATTCTGCAGCCTTGCAATGGCGCTTAGCACATTTCGTGTATATATCTTGGGTAGCTGACTGGCCAACTCATCCATGATTAGCAATAATTTATCTTGCAAAAAAAAAAAAGAATAAAAATATTTGTAGTGAAAAATATGTGTATAAAATAAAATAGTTTTAGGAATGTTAAAAAAAAAGTGTTCTTTTTTTCGATTTACTCGCTAAGACGAGTGTTTGTAGAATGCCTGAATAGAGATTTGGTTATGTATACGAACTAACTTGCTTTTGAATCGATATAAATGGCACACTGTTACTCAAATATTATATTATAGCATTTGAAAACAAGAGTAATCTACTGAGAGTCTCTTGTTAGTATGCCATTATAACTCGGCTTTACTTCCATGAGTTTCCAATGTCACTCGGTTCACTTGCTAAAAATGCGCTCCAAACGTCTGCAGTTCCTGTCCAATTGCTAATTGCTTAGTAATTGCTATAGTTGACTCTCTCTCTTAGTCCATCCATCGATTCTCACCAAACTCTCAACTCACTTGCATGGTACGAGCTGTCAGTTTCTCTCCAAGAACTAACACATACACCGATACGACATGCACATATTCATATACCTATAAAAATATACATTAGAAGCTCTGCCATATCTCTCACCATAACATCCAGAATTTCTCTTATTAAATGGCTCAGCTTATAAAGGAAATAAAGAAAACTCTTTTTTGTTTTAAAAATTTTTATTTGTTGTTTTACATGTATTTTCTTTTGTGCATTTGCATTTATAATTCTTCTTACATATATTTTAATATATATTTATGCGTATTTCTTTAATTTACATATATACTTTCGTCTTATGAACATATTCATGAGATCATAGTGATATTTTATATATTTATATATTCCTTTTTATATATATATTAAATTACAGCATAAGATAAAATGTACAAGTTGTATAAATGTTGTGTTCCCACACACAGAAAAATACATATTGAAAATATTGTAAGGGGGAGCTTAACTCTATTTATAATTGGGAGTTTTGAATCGAATGCGTGAGTGTTACGATGGCAGCTCTCAATGCGAACTCCCGTTGCTGGCAGCTGCATCCTACACTGTTTAACACACAATTCAACTGTTTTGGCACCAACGATCTATACAAAAAAATGGCATTTCGATTTTTGCGCTATATACAAATTACAAATTACGAGTTACGAATTTACGAATTACTTAATTTTAGGTCGGAAGTACGTCGCATGGAATAGAAAATAAACAAAAAATTTGTCGCTATGTGATTCATTTGATATATATTTTGTTTCTTGCTTGTTCTTTCTGCCTTGCTTCAGTTTATGGCAACCAAAAATCTTGATGACTTCTGGGCGCGCGGCCACAAAACTTTACCGAGATCAATGTGAAAACTAATTAGAATGAATCGGCGCCAACTTCTGCCACTCCCAATGCAAATTGCTCCTTTGCTGCGGTTGGTGACAGAATATTTGCGTTGAGTTCATTTTAGAAAAATTTACAAAAATTTTCATTGAGTTTTTTGTTGTTTTGTTTGTTTGATTGTTTGTTTTTTTTTTTTTTTTTTTTGGGTTGGGGGCTTGGAATAGTTGTATACAAATTAAATATAAGTATGTATAATAATAAAAAAAAAATACGTAAGAAAAAAAAACATGAATATTAAACAAAATTTTCTCTACTTTTGCTGCTTGCTGCGTTTACATTAACTAGTGTATCTTCTCTATCTCTCTCTCTCTTTCTCTAACTCTTTACGTCCCTTTCTTTCCCTTTGCCGTCTGCGAAATGATTTGATCTTATAGCTAACAAAAAATATTGCGCTACTTACAGGCATTTAACATATGATAAACAAATACATTTACTTAGATTCGATGTACATTTTTTCCCATATTTTTTAAGTTTTTGATTTTTTTTTTTTTTTTTTTTTTTTGTGTTTTTGTGTTTTGTTTTTGCATTTAACTTTAGACATAAAAACTTAGTGTTAAGAAATATGTAAACTAAAACGCTTGGCGATCTTAACTCTAGACTTTTACAATATTATTTTCTCAATGCAAGTAAAAAATTGCTGATGTAAATGATAAAAAAAATCCATGAGATCAATGCGATTTTTGGGAATAGTTTTTTTTTTTTCTTTTCATATGTTCATTTTCTAATATATTTTTATTTTGTTTTCATTTCGATATTTTTGTTTTCCACTGTTCGATTAGCATTGAAACGTCAAGAAATTTGGGCAAAACTGAAATTGAAATTTGCCAAAAGTTACCAAAAAATACAGAAAGGGGACATAAATATAAATTTGATTTGCTGCATGTGTGTGTGTGTTTGACTTTTGACTTTGGCTAGCTGTGGAGATCAATTGAGTGTTCTATAAATTTCCAGTTTTTAGAGATCATTCAACGCTTGGCTTTGAGTGTGTTAACCAAAGATAAACCTGAAAATGTGCCGTCCACCCTTTCCCGTTGCTTTTGGTAAATTTCAATTGCTGCGCAAATTTCTTGTACAATGTGTGCTTAAAACTAGATTGTGAGACCAATTTGAAGAATGAACAAAATGTAATCCACTTGAAAAATCAAAGCTTACTGACTAACAAATTTAACTAAAAACATCTGCATATGCATATATGTATGTATGTATAATAAACCATAGACAAAAATCATCACAAAAATGGCATTATATCAACTATATACAAAAAACATTTTTTTTTCTCTCTTTTTTTTTTTTTTGTTTTTCTGTGGGATTTTTTCTYTCGGATTTTTGATAACAATTAAAGCTAAATATGTTCAATTAAAATTTTAACTACTTTAAAGCAATTGCTACAAATATTAAAGATATTTTGATATTGTTAAACATATTTATAAATTTTCTTGTAATTGATATTACAAAGCGAAGACATTGAAAACTTTGTTGTTTGACAAACAATTGAAAGTAAACAAAAAAATATACAATTAAAATATTGAAAATATAAATGGAAGCAGGATTTTGTTTTCATTTTCATTATTTGTTGTTTTTTTTTCTTTTTCCATTAAATATTTGTAAGATATTACGAAATGCAAAGCTAAATGCAAGATATTCGATTGCTGGAAGACCGGCCTATAAAATGTATCTCAAAAAGTATCTCAAAAATGGCAGTTTGTAGTTGATTGTTTTATAGTAAAAAGTGTACAAAAATATGCTCGAGCTTAAATTTCAATTTGTGTTTCTCTTTTTCTCTATATCGAAAAATATGCATTTAATATTTTAGCAAAAATATTTGTGAATATAATTTGATTTGTTTTACTCTTTAGTCTTCTTCTTTTCATTTTTTTTTGCCAGTCTACAATTTGCAATTGAGCAGTTTGAATTAGTATTAGTGTTTAAGAGAGAGAAATATAAATATGAATATGTGTATACAAATACATTTAAATATTGTTCTTGTGTCCCGTCAACCGCCTTAACTTTATACACATTTATATATGTATATATGCATGTGTGTGTGTGTGTATTTATATGTATGTATGCGGGCTTGCTATGCGATCGCTGATACACTATAGATTAAACTGCTGTTGCTTTAAGTATATATACTTAGATATATAGATTAATAGAGATGCTTGTTGTTGTTGTTGTTGTTGCTTCATCGCGCTGCATACAAGCCCCAGCCCATGGCGAGCACAAAGACGGTGACAACTGTTGGCCAAGTGAAGCTCTGCTGTTCCTAAAATAGAGAGAAGCAATAGAAAGAGCATAATCAAATAATTGTTAAGAAAAATATAAATAATAGTTGAGTAATACATATATCTATATACCATAAAAGTCAGTTAAACAATTGCCCTCTGGGGTCATATAAATATGCTTTGGTCCACAAAACAAAGTCACGTGCCCTCTGCTAGTTTGACCGCACACACACACACACACACACACACAGACCAAGCTGCGGCCCATTCGTAAATCAAACCAAAAACCAAGAGACCGGAACCCATGTCAGTGACCCACATATATGTGTATGTGTGCGTATCTTTATGGACATGGTCAATGGCTGGTCAATAGCTAACATAATTATTTAGTCCATTCAATTGCACTCGACGCTGCGGCTATCATTTCACAATTTCGTTTATCGCATTCAATGGATATACAATAATAATAATAATTTATGCCACTTATTTGTGGTACATTCACGGTTGAATGGGCATTGTGGCATGTACATGCGCATGTGTGTGTGTGTGTGTGTGTGTGTGTCACGTGTAAATGATGACTGCACAATATTTATTATGCAAATTAGAAAGTTTCTACTTTTTGGGCACATTTTAATAGAATTTGTGCATTTGTTAAATGAGTTGAAAAGGCGCTCTTTGGCGCATCTGCTTGCATTTATTTGACAACTCGTCTGTCTATTTAAATATATATTATTTAGAGCTAATTGGTTGGCTTTTGCTGCACTTGTAACTTTCATTTTTATAAATAYGTATTTATAATATCTAACAAATATTAAAGTCCGTCCTGCTCATATGCATAGCTAATGCACTTTGTAATGCAATTGCTATAATGAGCAATGACAGCTCACGGTAGAATATTTCCATTCGCATTGAGTAATTTATTTTCTAAAATGAATATTTTATATTGGTAGAAAGTTATTATTTTAAATTAAATCTATTTATTTATTTTAT